CCCACCCCGAACACAGCCTTGATTTCCTCTACAAAATCTCCTTCACTGGGTTGCTTATGGGAGTCATGCTGGGAGGCCAAATTCACAGGAGCTGCCTTCAGATTCAGCCAAGCACATCTACCTTTCCAACATAAACCATACTTTTTTTTAAAGATTTCATTTATTTTAAAAAGAGAGAGAGAGAGAGCATGCATTTGAAGGGCAGGAGCAGAGGGGGAGGGACAAGCAGACTCCATGCTGAGCACACAGCCTGATGCAGGGCTTGATCCCACAACCCTGAGATTATGACCTGAGCCGAAATCAAGAGTTGGACGCTTAACGGACTGAGCCACCCAGACATCCTCCTACATGAGCTATATTTAAAGGCAACCAAATAGCCTCAGTTGATGAGCAGAAGTAATAAAGATGGAGGGAATGGCATAATTAGAAAACCCCCATTTGGCAACTCCCTAAAAAAATAAGCGATTTAGACAGCTAGCATCCAGGAAAATGAAACCAACGGCAGATGACAGCTTGTTGGGGAACTGCAGAGCTGACCATACCTGAACCCACTCTAGAGCCAGGACTACCAAGCAACACCTACGTGTCACGTGTCACGTGCCTCCGGCCTCGAAGTACATAGCACCACCTGTGAAGCACTCTTGCCAGAACAGTCGAACCAATCTAATAAGCTGTTAGAGCTAGCTTTCAGCTTACAGGAAATACAGAAAATAGAAGTGCAATTTAAATGATCTCAGGAGGAAGCGAACAGAAAAATCCAGAACGTGGAACGTTCTGCAATACAACTGACACAGTTTCTTCAAGAAGTCAATTACCTGCGTGGGGAGAGGGGAGGTGAAGGGCAGGGTCACCTGTTCTTGGTTAAAAGACACATTACTGCCAACTACAATATAAGAACAATATTTGGATCCTGATTCAAACCAACCAAAAGTAAATGGACATTTTTAAGTTAATCAGAAAAAATCTGACTATAGACTCAGAATTACAATAAGCATCATCATTAGATATTAAACTAAGAATCCTCATCTTCATTGGTTGGGGTAGAGATGAAGGTTGTATAAGAAAACACCTGTCATTTTTATTTTTTTTTTAAAGATTTTTATTTATTTATTTGACAGACAGAGATCACAAGTAGGCAGAGAGGCAGGCAGAGAAAGAGAGGAGGGAAGCAGGCTCCCCGCGGAGCAGACAGCCCGATGCGGGGCTCGATCCCAGTACCCTGAGATCATGACCTGAGCTGAAGGCAGAGGCTTTAACCCACTGAGCCACCCAGGCACCCCAACACCTGTCATTTTTAGAGATGCCTATAGGGTTGAAACCCTATAAGGGGCTTGCTAATTGCTTTAAAATATTTTGGCGCACACAGAGAGGGGATGGACGAGGCTGGGAGAGCAGAATGTTGCAAAAGAATGAACGTGGGTGATGTATACATATGGGGAACAATTAGTCCACTTTGGGGCATGACTCAATATTTTTATAATATATACAATTCCATTTCAGAGCCTTCATTCATGGAGCATCTGTTGAGAACCAACCGCCGTCTTAAGGGTGTCACAGACATTTCTCACAACTGCCTTATGCAGTAGGTACTATTCTGACCCCCACTTTTATAGGTAAGGAGACTAATGACATCCCACCTGGTTTGGGGTGGAGCCAACAGGTCAGCCAGTCAACCTTCATCTCAACAAAGCCTCAGAGGCCAGTGAAGGAGAGATTTCTACCTTTTCCGTTTCACAAAGCATTTTCGCACATGCTTGCAGGCAATCCCCCAAAACCATGTGCTCACCATCAGCACCAGGGAGGGTGGAAGGTGCTGGAAGGCAGAAAAGGAGCTGATAGCCAGGGGATACAGGGGGAAAGGGAAACAACAGAACCACAGAAAAGCAAGAAGGCGGTGACACATGGAGACAGTCATGGAAAGGGGCTGATGGAAAGACAAAGGCAAAGGAGATAGGGGGTGCTGAAATGGGAAGATGGAGGACCTACAGAGCTGGCCCCCTTCCCTTCTGCCCCCACCCCAACACCAGCCAAAAGGAGAAAGCCGGAGAGCAGGAGGAGAGGCCAGACAGACACTGACTGGGCAGCCATGCCGGACGTAGCTGCACATCTGTGTTTGGCCAGGTGACCACGTACTCTTCTCTCCCCTCCCGTCCCCCAGGCAGCTACTGTTCTTTCCTGTGACCTTCCAAGTTCAGACTCAGCTTCCCCTGACTGGCTCCATGCTCACAAAGGGGAAGGAAGGGAAGAGGAAGAAATTATTTATTCATCTAATCACCTTTTAAAATTCTTTAAAACTGTTTAATGGCGACAGAATTCACAGGCCACCAGTGTCCCATGAAGCCGCCCTTGGGACAGAGCCTGTGTAGCTGGGCCTAGGGTGCAAGGCCGCCCTCACGCCAGTAAGGCACTTGGGTCAAGGTCTCCTGGGGCCAGCTACCTGTAAGATTCGGATCAAAACAATGGGAAAGACATGCTTGGGGGCCTGCATGTGTGTTGGGGGGATGGCAGACAGGAAAGGTGTGAGGATCAGAAAACACAACGGGAGAAAGAATCCTCAGGACATCTTACAGACTGGCCTGAGAGCTCAGGGGATAGCAGGTTTGCCACAATCCGGCAGTATGCCTTAGTAATGGGGAACCACCTGCTCCAATTACTGGTCAAGACCCGCCTTCCTCCCATGCCAGCATTATTTATAATAGCCAAAAAGTGGAAATAATCCAGACATCTGTTGACAATCACAAGGATACATAAGACATGGTACAGCCATATAGTGGAAGACTGCCGAGCATAGATAGGAATGAGCTCTTGGCACACGCTGTAACATGGATGACCTTGAAAATGATTTGTGAGGAGCCGCACGCAATGGCCACTTATCATCTGGTTCCATCTAGAAGGAATGCCCACCATGGGCAAATCTATAGAGGCAGAAATTAGACTGGTGGTATCTAGGGGTGGAGGGGGTAGAGTGCTAATGGGTATGGAGCCTCTTTTTGGGGGGTGCTGAAAATGTCCTAAGATGAGGCTGTGGTGTGGGTTTGCACAAGGCTGTGAACACACTAAAAAGTACCGAACCGTATTCGTGACAGGAGGGTGTTTTATGCTGTGTAAAACAGTAAAGCTGCAGATTGCTATTTTAAATTCAACTAAAGAATAAGTCATTCCTTTTTTCCTTTCCCTCCCAAAGATAAGGCATTTCTCTCTTATTATGGGGAGAGTTTTATTTTCTGTTCTTTAGCACAAAAGCAGAAGCAAAGGGGAGCCTTTATACAGATGGCAGTTAACCAAACACCATGAACACAGTGAGAAGCAGCAATAAAACATGAGATGAAGGTCAAACTCTTTCCACCACTCTGTTCCCATACCAAATCCTGATGACTGGGCTACTCTCCATCTGCTTGTCTGGAACCCAGCACCCAACTATTGACCACTAGACTAAGGGGGTTACCACAGAAGCTGTATTGCCTTAGTAGATGGCTAATTTGTAAACTAGACAAAAAGTTTACCAAAATCCAAGACCTTCTGCATCGGCTTCTACTTTACTTGAACACAAAAGAGCATCATGACTCTTTCTAAAAAAAAAAAAAAAAAAAAATCTATCTGGTTCTTTACGGGGTGACCCTCTCTACTGTACATTTTAGATTCGTTGTTTCCCTCCCAAGAGCCTTTACAGAATGACCAGAGAAGGAGGAGGACAAATGAGAACAAGTCACTTCACCAACCTGAGTCTCTGTGTCCTAACCTGTAAATGGCGGGGCCACCCAGACTCACTGCAAAGGATATTCAGTCTCAGTGGGGATCTGAGTTCCAGGAAACTTTAGTACAACCACAGTTTCTTGAATTTTTAATAAAGTCACATCCTCTAGGGTTAAAATAATTTAAAAACCATGACACAGTTCCTCGGCAAACCTTCTCTGAATAATTGTGGGAGGCAAGTAAGGAGCAAAGGAAGGGAAAAAAAAGCTTCCCATTCTGTTATATTCAGCTAAGGTGATTTCATGTAAAATCCTAGAATTATCTGTTTATCACATTACTATGGGCAGATCAACAATGCAGCCAGCTGGCAGGCCAAACGATAAATCCTATCCTACTGAGAACAAAATCTTGTTCAGGAAATTCCTGGACAGCAGGAACTGATTTGGGGGCATAAGAAAAAGAAAAATAGGTAGGTTCCAGCTCTTACATAACCCAGTGGACAGTCACCTCTGAACACACTTGCAGTTCTGTGGAAGGCAGGCGAGAACACGATAATCTATTGCTTTGAAGGCCTTGAAACCCCACACTCAAGCAATCCCTGCTCAGTCCTAATTTCTCCAGGCACTAACTGCTGATCATCAGAGAGCAGGCCTCTAGGTATATCGACACATCTGCATGGGCCAGGACCAGCACTGGGCAGAGCTGGGTACCAGCCAGAGAGAGATGGCTCCTTGACCTCTAGGCACACAACAGGGGAGTCCTAGTGACCCACTAAGTAAGATGGAAGGGAGCCACGGGGATAAGAGTGACTGACATGGAGCTGACAATGACTGGGCAGCATGCAAAGACTATAAAGTAGCCCATGAAAAGTAATAAGATCATGTAAGCCAGCCCCATGCTTTGGAAGGAGATGGCCAGCCACAGGGTTGCAGTATGTTATTGAAGACCCATGCCAATTCCTTGTGATCATCGTAAGTACAAGAGCAGTGAGGGAGGCTGGGGACCTCAGACTTGAGTCCGAGTACAGAGTGTTTCTTTCTGGTTACCAACTATCCAATCCTTTGATTTTGGCAACCTCCCAACTGCCTTAAAACCTCAAATCAAACTAATGCGTTTCCCAATAACTTATGCACAAGACATTACCAGGGATGTAAGGAACCACTCAGTATCTTATTATTACACAAAACCTCCTTCCTCCCCAGCTGAGCTACAAACCACCCAAAGCACTATGCATTTATACACAACGGGAATGCCACCCAAAACCACCACTGAGCTCACGGTATGCCAAGTGAGAAAGTGGCACTTACCAATCTTCTGATTAAAAATCTTGTCAAAGGTGATTTCATTTCTCTCCTGAAGATACTTCTGCATCACACTCCGGATACTGAAAGAGAAGAGGCATACGTTTTTAGCGGTGACAGCTTGTATCATGAGAAACCATCCCCAGCGTGGACAACAGGTGGCTGTCTGAACTCAAGGCTGCTGGTTGACCAGAGAGCCCTCATACTGACATCCACGACCGCACGGAGTGCTGATGGCATGGGGAGCATCATGGCTCCAGCTGGGGTCCTCTCCCGGGACTCAGGGCCGACCTGACATGTGGACTCTTGACCAAAAATAACTTAAGGACTGACTGTGGAAAGCTCGCCCTCAATACCACCATTTGTCAAAATACACACAAGCATGTGCACACGTGACACATTCTGCTAATCAATTAATGAGCTTCTTTCTAAAACAAAAGCAAATGTTCCCTGGATACATGACTGAGATTTTTTAAAAAAACCACACTTCTATACATCAACAATAAACAGCGAGAAAACATAATTAGAAGATTTCACTTAAGATAAAATAAGAAACACCAAATGCCTTGAAATAAATCCTTCAAAATATGTGCAAGAACTTTGTAGGGAAAATTACAAAATGTGCTGAGAGACATAACAGAAAATCCTAATAGATGGAAAAGTACGCCACAGTTATGAACAGAAAGATGGAATACTGCAAAAATCCAACATCTACCCAAAGTTATCTATAAAATCATTTCAACCCCAACTCCCATCACTATTGCAGAGAGTTCTTCATAGAACAAAGAAATGATTATGTCTTTATAAACTGTATGCAGAACACCACGGGATCCAGAATAGCAAAAACGTGTACAAAGAAAGAATATCGAGAACAGGGCTTACTCTGAAGCTAAAATGAAGACAGGATAAATTAAACAATGAAATGGAATAGAGAGCATATAAATACGGAACTTCAAGATACAAGGCAGAGAAGGCAGAAAAATGGAGAAACCAGGGATTATTCAACAAGTGAACCAAAAGTGAATATTCAAATGGAAAAAGTAGAACCTGCGTCTCTATCATCCACTGCTGGGGAAAAAATTGGCAGCAGCACCCCCCCCTTTAAAAACTTATTAAAACAAACTATTTGCGGTATAATCTATATAATTAAATGCATATTTATATGCATCAATAGTTTTTCACATATACCTACCATCTTAATCAAGATATAAAATACCTTTTAAAGATTTTACTTATTTATTTGAGAGAGAGAAAGAGCATGAGCAGGGAGGAGGGGCAGAGGCAGAGGGAGATGGAGAAGCAGACTCCCTGCTGAGCCAGGAGCCCCACGAAGGGCTCCATCCCAGGATCCTGGGATCGTGACCTCAGCCGGAGTCAGACACTTAACTGACTGAGCCCCCCAGGTGCCCAAGATACAGAATATTCCTATCACCCCAAAAGATGCCCCTTTGCAATCAGTCTCCCCAAATTCTAGGATCCAGGCAATTACTGATCTCCTTTCTGTTAATGCAGATTACTTACTTCAGTACTAGAATTTTAGATAAATAACATCATACAATATGTTGTCTTGTGTGTCTGGCTTCTTCACTTGACATAAGCAAGTTTCCTCCATACTGCTGTGCACATAAGAATTTAGTTCCCTCTTATTGCCAAGTAGTATGGCATCGTATGAATATTCCACCATTTGTTTGCCCGTTCCTCTGCTGATAGACATTTGGGTCGTTTCCAGATTGGGGCTATTATGAATAAAGCCTCCTTAAATATTTGTGCCTAAGTCTTTTTATGGGCGCATGTTTTCATTTCTCATGGGTAAATATCTAGGAGTGAAATTGTTGGTCATGTGGTTAATTATATTTAACATTATAAAAAACAGCTGAATTATATTCCAAACTGTGTGATGTTACATTCCCACCAACAATGTGTGAAATCCCAGTTGCCCCAAATCCCTTGTCAACACTTTGGTTGTCAGTCTTTTCTTCTTTTAGCCACTCTGTTAGGTAGTGTAGCAGTAGCTTATTTTAATTTCCTTCTCCCTAATGAATGATTATGTTGAGTACGTTTGGACATTATTGGATTACTGGAGTGCTTACATCTTCTCCTGTAAGGTGTGCAGTGAAATCTTTTACCTACCTTTTAATTGAGTTGTCTGTCTTATGACTCAATTGTAAATTTTCTATGTCCTGGAAACAAGTCCAGTGTCAGATTTATGTGATCATAATGTTTCCTCCCAGTCCACACCCTGCCTTCATTGCCTTCATGAAGTCCTTCCAAGAGCACAAGTGTCTAGTCAAGGAGATCCAATTTATTATTTCTTTGGTGCACCACATTAAGAAATCTTTCACATCCCAAGGTCAAAAAGATTTTTAACCTAACATTTTCCTTTAGAAATTTTAAAGTTCTAGCTTTAATGGTTAGGCCTAAAATTCATTTCAGGTTACTTTTTGCGTATGATGCAAAGTAAAAGCTCAAGGTTCTTTTTTCCCCTTATAATAACTAGTTATTCCAGCATTCTTTGTTGGGGGGTGGGGGAAAGTATCCTTTCTCCACTGAATTATCCTGGCACCTTTGTTGATTCAACACTAAATCTGGGTAGGTCTGTCTCTCGGATATCCTGTTTCATTGATCTGTATGTCTACCCTTCCATCAACACTACATTGTCTTGATTGCTAGAGGTTTAGAGTTGTCTTGAAATCCAGTAATCCAACTTTGTTTTATTGCTTTTGTGGGGGTTTTGGTTTGTTTGTTCATTTTTTGGCTAACCTAGGTTCTCTGCATTCCCATTTAGGTTTTTTCCCCAGAAATTTCTTCCCAGAAAAAGCCTGACAGGGCTCTGATTTGGACTGTGCTGAATATATAAATCAGTTTAGGGGGAATTAACCTCTTAATAATATGAAGTGTACAATCTACAAATATGACATACTTCTCCATTTACTTAGGTCTTCTTTAATTTCTCTCATTGCTACATTGTAGCTCTTAGTATAGAAGTCTTACCCTTTTCTTGCAATCACTTTCTCTGCTTTTGATATCAGGATATGATTCATAAAAGGAGATGGGGATAATTCCTTTCTCCTTCATTTGCTAAAAGAGTTGGTGACTGTCAGTGTTAATTATTCCTGAAATGTTTGATAGAACTCATCAGTGAAACCATGTGAGTAGAATTTTCTTTGTGGGAAGGTTTGAAATTATACATTCTACTTCTTTCACAGATGTAGGACTACTTACATTTTCTGTTTCTTCTTGTATTAGCTTAGATAACTTGTGTCTTTTAAGTAATTTGTCCATGCCATCCAATCTGCCTAATGGTACTCAAAATAATGATTTTGAGTAAGAGAAGCCAGATCAAAAGAGAAAGACAGACAGAGACAGAGAGAACACAGTGTTTGATTATGAAGAGGCAGAAGCAAATACTGAGGGGATGATGTATATGGTAAAATAATACACATACACACATATATATTTGGTCTCTGTCTCAGTTCTTGGCAAAGAACTCCTAAAACCCTTGGAATTTCTTAATGATAGAAGTATCTTATTCATAATAAGCCCTTTTCAACCCTCCCTGAGTTAATGCTAATGGAGGTAACTCTTGGTAGGCCTGTAGACAGCTTCAGGATGGAGCTAGTTGCCAGAGGAACCAACCATGTGATTAGAGGTTTGGAAATGTTCTCCCTACCACTTGACACCTGAGAGACTAGAGATTGAGTTCAACTACCAATGACCATGATTTAATGAATCATGCCTACATAATGAAATTTGGATAAAAGTTCTAGAATGATGAGGTCTAGAGAGCTTCCAGGCTGGTGAACCCATAGATGTGCTGGGACAGAGGTACTCCTGGGAAGCCTTCCACTCCACCCCTTCCCAAGATCTTGCCCTATGTAACAGACCCTTTGAAGTTCCTGATTTATATCCTTACAATAAAATGAACCATAAGTATGCACCTTCCTGTGTTCTGGGAGTCGTTCCAGAACTATCAAACATAAGACAGGTCACAGGAACCCTCAAATTTGCAGCCAGACAGACAGTAATGCAGGTAGGACCCCATTTGCAGCTGGTATCTGAAGTGGGGCAGTCTTGTGGGACTGATTCCTTAACCTGGGAGTCTGTGCCAACTCTAGGTGGTTCACATCAAGAACTGAATCAAACTGCAGGACAGCCAATTGGTATCAGAGAAATGATAATTGTTGGACGGTGACACAATGCATGTGTTTGTTATCTTAATTTTGGTAATGGCTTCACAGGTCCAGACAAAATTTGCCAAACTGGACACCTGAAATATGTGGTTTGTTTTGTGTGAATTAAACTAAAAAAAGTTGGGTTTTCTAAAATTACATCACAAGGAGGTGGTCTGCAAAACCTTGAGTGTTGGGAATTCTCTACAACATCTGACCCTATTTCCTTAGAAAAAAAAAAAAAAAAAATTCTAGAAGGAAAAATGATGGATGGGAAGCTATAGTTCAGATAAATAAATAAATAAATAACAGGCATAATGGATGGATTTTCATTTAAAACTCGATTCAAATAAAAAGAAACATAAAAAATTGGAGAAATGTGAATATAGACCAAATATCTGGTGTTAAGTATTACTTTTTTAGCAATGGCCATGTATTACACTACATCTTTATATTTTAAGAATTCTTATCTTTCAGTGATACATATAGAAATTTGACAGATGAAATGATATATTATGTCTACATCTGCTTCAAAATAATCTAAAGGGACTTAGGTGGTATGGATGAAACAAGACTGGCTATGTGTTGATCCCACATAAAGCTGAGTAATGGCTACATCAGTTTCATTATACTATTCTCTCTGTACATGGTTAAATTTTTCATTAAATAAAGTTTTTTTAAAAAAAATCAAATTCTGGGGGCACCTGGGTGGCTCAGTGGTTTAAGGCCTCTGCCTTCTGCTCAGGTCATGATCTCAGGGTCCTGGGATCTAGCCCCGCATTGGGCTCTCTGCTCAGCAGGGAGCCTGCTTCCCCCCACCTTCTGCCTGCCTCTCTGCCTCCTTGTGATCACTCTCTTTCTCTGTCAAATAAATAAATAAATAAAATCTTTAAAAATAAATAAATAAATAAGAA